GAGAAGTGTCGAAACTGTGTCGAAACAGTGTCGGGCGAGCGTCTCCCAGGGCCCGACACGTGAAAACCATAAAGTTTCGGTACAATTTTGGTGTTCGAAATTCTTTCTCGTGGACAAGGCCAAAATCTGAAAAGTAGGTTGGGACATCATAATCTTCGTTCTGCTTGCTGCAGCACGAAAGTGGAACGAACATGGTCCACGGAGTCGCCGAGACACCATCCAGGCCCAGCCCTGAGAGAACGTATTATTGCCGATGCCCCCCAATCACTCACTGGCCAGCACTCTTTCGCAGCCAAGGTGCGTACCCTGCGGCGCCTTCGCCCTGCGTTCTGCCGGGTGGGTCTGGGTGCTCAGACTGTGCGGCTGCTGGGCCCCTAGGGTTGCACCAGCACCGGCTCTCGCGTGATGCCTCTGGCGCAGAAGTTGGCTCAGGAATCGCGCTCTCGCTCGAGCCTTCCGCGCAATGTGCTGAAGAATCGGGCTGCCGACTTGGCCGTCCTCGCAGCTTGGGACATCTTTTACATTGAGCCTGGGTCGTCCCTGAAAATGAATCACGAATCGCGCTCTAGGGGCCTCACAACTTACTGAACCATCGCGCCCTCGCACAAAAGGAGAACCGACACACACACACACACAACCACATACACACACACGCCGCCAGTGCCAAGCCGGCTCGTGGGCCACCGTCGCGGCCTCGCCTGGGCCCAGACACGGCCCCTAATCGCAACGGGCGCGCCCCTGTGCGCGCGCTGGTTGAGAGGACCTGGGCAGAGGACCTACACAACCACACACACACACGACATACACACACGACATACACAAACACACTTTGGGCGTCGCGGCCACCGGCGCGGCGGCGACGTAGGTCAAGTCAGGTGGAAACCCGCGGGTCGGGCCAGCGCTGGATTCAGGTCGCATACGCACGCGCACACGCAGTGTACGCAGGCACACGCAAACACACAAACACACACACACACACACTTTGCATCGGCGGCTGGGCAGAGGGCGACTGCCCTGGCGGGTTGACACACACACACACACACACACGCGCACATGCACACATCGTATGCACACGCAATTTTCTCAATGAGAGCGCGCTGATCCCCCCACACGTTGCGGGTAACAGTCCCGAGAGGAGTGTCACAGCAGCTCCGGGCGAGGCAGGCCTCCACTCACGCGCGCGCGGGCACGTCGATGTTGTCTTCTGCCGACGCTCGGGCGGGGCCCAGCCAGAAGGTATTCGGATGCGGACCGCCGCCACCAACGACAACTTCTCCGCATGCGCGCTTTTTGTTCCTCCGGCGGCCGAGCGACGTCACCACAGCGGGCGCTGGAACGGGACGCGCCCGAGCCAAATTCCGCCCGCCGTTGCAGGTGGCGGATTGCGCCAAACATAGGGGGAAAACAAACCTACCTCGCTTTTGACCACCCTCGCTTCCAAGAGATGCCAAACGATGCCAAATTGCAGCCTGTACTGGTCAGGCCGCTTGACGAGGAGGCGCGTGGTATGGCTTGGTTTTGCCTGGAAGCGAAAGCGGGGTAGGTAATTCACGCTCTGAAAACAGGACGGCGTGCACAAAGTGAGCAATGACACCGGGAGCCGCGCGCACTCACACGCGCACGCAGTTTTGGCACCGCGGCCACGCGAGCGGCGACGCGGCGGAGCCAGGCGGAGCGGTGCACGCATACCCGCACACACGCACATACACACCCCACACATACACACCACACACACACACACAAACATTGCACTGGAGAAAAGCCCCAATCAGTGGATGGTCCGAAAGTTCTGCAAGCACCATGCCCGGCCACAGTTTCGCACGAGGGGCCCTGAGAGACTAACTCATTGGTTGCCCCTGCGTGTTGGAAAAGGTTGTGGCATCCTCGCCACTTCGGGCGTCCGTCTGCTCATCCGTCGGCTCCATCGAGACTGATATAGAAAGATACCCCGACAGAAAGAGACAGAGAGAGAGAGAGAAGGAGAGAGCGAGAAAGACAGAGAGACAAAAAGTGAGAGAAACAGAGATAGAGAGAGAGAGGGAGCGCACATTGACAGCAATGATATAAAGAGATACCGAAAAAGAGAAACAAAGAGAGAGAGAGAGAGAGAGAAACAGAGAGAGAGAGAGAGTGAAAGGGGACACCCACCGACAACCGCCCACCGAGAACCGCCAACCGAAATCGGCCGGCTATGTTTGCCAATCTCTTGAGGGGGCGTCCACCAAAAGCCGCCCACCGAGAGCCACCCACCGAAATCGGCCCGCTACTGTCGCCAACTTGTTCTATGCCCGCTAGGACCCCTTCAGTGTAAACACTAATTGGGCAACAAACCTTCACACGCAGACCGAGACACAGGCACCGACACAGACACAGGCACAGACGCAGACACAGGCACAGACACAGACACAGACACAGACACAGACACACACACACACACACACACACACACACACACACACACACACACACACGCACACACACACACACACACACACACACACACACACACACACACACACACACACACACACACACACACACACACACACACACACACACACACACACACACACACACACACACACACACACACACACGCGCACGCACGCACGCACAAGCACGCTCGCACGCACGCACGCGCGCACGCACGCGCGCACGCACGCGCGCACGCACGCACGCATGTACACACGCACGCACGCACGCACGCACGCACGCACGCACGCACGCACGCGCACGCGCACGCGCGCACGCGCGCACTCACGCACGCACGCACGCGCGCACGCGCGCAAGCGCACACACATACACGCAGACACAGACACAGACACAGACACAGACACAGACACAGACACACACACACACACAGATGTATACATATATATATATATATATATATATGTATAGATACAAGACTGCAGTGGCGCTTCGCGCCATGCACCTTGGTCCTTGAAGTTTGGTACGCAGGCGGGATAGCAGGAAGGTCACGCCGACGATTTAGCGATAACTCCTGGTTGCCGTTTCCGGCAAAACCGCTATAATAATGTTCTTAATTATCCTTTCTCCATGCTTCGTTTTCATTATTTTCGCCATACCCTGCGCATTCTCCCCATCCTCCTCAGCTCTTTTTTGCGGAGGCTCCTCCTTGGAGAGCCTCTCGGGGCCTCACACAAGTTGTTTCAGGCTTTCTTGAATCCTTCTGGAGGCCTCCTGGGCGTACTCTGGGGGCCTCCGGGGGCTTCCTCGGGCCACCCTGGCTCCAACCGCGGTCCCCCTGAACGACCGAATCACGATTTGGAATTCTTCGGAGGGTGTCTTTGGGCCATCTTGGGCGGCCATGGGGCTCGCTGGGGGCCATCTTGGACCCGTGTTGTACCGTTTTGGGGCTCTCTTGGACTGCCTGGAAGCCCTTTCGGATGGTTGTGGGGCGATTTGGGAGCCTCCCAGGCGGCGTCGGACGCCCAGAAGACCGCCGTCTTGGAGCGTGAAGCCGAAAATAGGAGAACCCCAAAATTCACCAAAAACCCGAAGAAAATCAATGATTTGTGCCTCGGGGGGCCTTCTTGGGAGTGCTCTTGGAGGCCTCTGTGGGGCCGTCCTGGAGCTCTCTTAGGCCATCTTGAGGTCACGTCGGTCACTCTCGGAACGCTCTTGTGCTGTCTTGGAGGTCTCTGGGACGTCTCCGATGACCCCCCTGATCGCCCTAGGTGAACTGGGAAGGCTTGGCAAAACGCCCTGCGAAGCCTGGTGGCCGCTTCGAGGCCCTTCTGGAAGGTCCCAAAGCCCCAAATCCCGGGAGTCCGGTTTTGGGGGGGGGAGTGGGTGACGGGTTTTCCCCCCGCCCGGGCTTGTAAAAATATAGGAAGAGGAATATGTATTTCTTCGTCGCAGCGCGGCAGAGGTGATCCGCACGCGTGCTCTGGTGGGCCGGGCTCGGACACGCACTTTGTCCGAAAACAAGCGAGGGGGAGGGCCGGAGGGCGACCGCAGAGGGCAGGAGAAAGAGGAAGGGCATTCACTGCACGAAGACTATCGTCGGGAGTGGCTGGCGCGGCCAGCCTGAGCTGAGGCAGCCTGGCAGTGAACGCGGAGCGGCATCGCGGCCACGCCCAGGGGCTGGGGCAGAGGCTGCAGGCGCAAACGGCGTAGAGCAAGTCGAACCAGTACGGTAGGAGCAAAGGCGAGCAAGCCCACGGAAGCGGGCGGCATTCAGGTGTTCGTGAGAAAGCCGTGGGCGACACGCTTTTGCTGCAGGCGCGGCGCCAGCGTCACGCAGGAAGGCCCAAGCGCCCTCGCGGGCAGGGCCAGCGACCAGCTCGCCGCAGCAACGCGCTCATTACTGTGATGCCGACCTGCTGAGAGCCGCGCTGCAGGTCTGCCAGCTGCGCCGCCGAGGGCTGCAAAGCAAGCGGCACCCTGCCAGGGTCTGCCGAGCTGCAGAGCGCCACCTACTAAAGTCGCGCAGCGCGGGGAGGGCGTACACACAGGCGCACGCACACAGGCACACATGCACACAGGCACACAGGCACACAGGCACACAGGCACACAGGCACACAGGCACACAGGCACACACACACACACACACACACACCGCGGAACTGTTGTTTGTGCAGCCGCTCGAGCGCGATCCAAGGCTACCCCGGAGCTGTCGACGAGGCGTATGTCACGGGCAATGCCCACAAACCTATCGTGGGCGTCCAAGAGGGGGGGTCACAAATCATGGCCGGAAGCATGCGCGCGGACGAGGGGGAGACCAAGGGACGTGCCGAAGGAAGAACCGGGAGCCATGACCCGCCCAACCACCGCCCCCCCAAGCCATCACCCCCCCCCCTGCTGGCCGCCCACGCGCAAGCCTCGATCCTGCACCGGCGCCGGCGCCAGCTCGGCCGCCGAGGGGTCGCGCGGTCCGACCATGCTCCTGCCCCCTTTTTTTGTTGCCGTCCACGCGACCTCACACAACCTCAAGCTGCAGAAGCGGAGGCCAAAACCTGCAGCGGCGCCACCGTTCAGCGGCCAGGCGCCGCACGGCTGCGCAGCCAAAGCTGCGCGGGCGCACCACCGGCGTGCCCGAGAGGCGGCGCGCGACGGATGGGGCCCGGGGACCCCCTTCCTCTCTTTCTCCTCCTCCGTCGTCGTCGCCGTCGTGTCGCTCGTCTGCCTCGCCGCGTGCGTGCGTCTGCGCCGTCGCGCGAGAGTCGGTGGCCCAGTCCCTCGTTCAATCTCCTGCGCCCGGGGCCCCCGTGCCCACTGCGCGCGCGCATCGGCCAGCCTGGAGTCCCAGGAGCCTCCCCCTCGCGCTCGCCCCCCCTGCCCCTCCCCCCCAGCTCGACGACGACGGCGACGACGACGACGACGACGACGGCGACGACGGCGACGACGACGACGACGGCGACGACGGCGACGACGGCGACGACGGCGACGACGACGACGACGACCGACGACGACCGACGACGACCGACGACGACCGACGACGGCGACGACGACGACGTCGACGACCCCGACGACGGCGACGGCGACGAAGGCGACGGCGACGAAGACGACGGCGACGACGACGACGACGACGACGACGACGACCCTGAGGCGGGGGCCATGCAAAGGTCAGGGCGGTCCGCCCTCGCGGCCACGTGGAGGGCGGTCAGGCCCTCCTTGCCAGACGCGAAGCTCGGGCTGCACCTGCCGCTCGCGCGCCCCCGCGTGCCGCCTTCCCGCCCCCACCACTTCCTCCTCATTCTCGCCTCCCCTCGCCCATCCCATTCTCGCTTCCCCTCCTCCTCCCCCCCTGCTCGCCTCCCCTCCTCCTCCCCCTCTTCTCCCCTTCTCGCTTCCCCCTTCCCGCCCCCCGCCCCGTCTCGCCTCCCTTCCTCCTGCCTCCCCCCCGTCTCGCCTCCCCTCCTCTTCCCCCCCTCCTACCCTTCTCGCCTCGCCTCCTCCTCTCTCCTCCCCCCTTCTCTTCTCCCCTCCTCCTCCCCCCCTCCTCCCCTTCTCACCCCCCCCCCCTCTCCTCCTCCCCAGCTGCCATAGGGCCAATCCAGCACTGTGCGCCGCCGGAACCTTGCGGCCCCGGGGGGCCTCCTGGGCGGTGCGCTGCCTCGGCGGCCCCGGGGGGCCTTCTGGGCGGTGCGCTGCCACGGCAGCGCTTGAGCTGCCTGGAGCCGAAGCACCGGAGCGGATGTGGCCTCGTCCTGCAACCGAGGCGCTGACCTGAGGAGCGCCAAAAAATGAGCGAGGCCTCTTTTCTCCACAAGTGGAACTACGATCCCCCATCGAAAACCTAAGGAACACCTTAGGCAAGCTGTGAGACAAGTAAGAAACACCGAGCCCCTCTCCAACGAAACGTGTCCCTTCTTCAGCGCCCCGACTGTTGCCTCGTCCGACCTCTGTCCTCGCTCTCGCCTCCCCTGTCGGGGCGACCCACCCGCACGTGGAACGACTGCCCATGCAAGACGATCGAGATGCTACGCTGCCGTTCTGTCCGAGCGCTGGGCCGCATCTCCGTCCATGTGTGCCGCGACCTCTCGAGGCACGGCGCCCCATCTTGACAAAGACATCCGCCACATGCCACGCACAACCTTTTGGAAAAAGCCTACGGCAGGTCCGCGTCGTGCCGACCCCAGCGTTGGTTTTTGACACCGCGGGGATCGTTCAACCTTGAACGATCGGCCGTTCCCGCAACGTCCAATCGTTCAACATCGACCGATTCTGGGTCGCCGCCGGCGTTCAACGTTAAACGCCGCGGGCGGGGTCGCCGACGGTCGACACGACGCGAACCTGCCGTACATGTGCAAACGAGGACATCGCTTTGCGTCGTGTGGGTGTGTCTGTGTGTGTTTCCCGGTACAGTGCGATCACGGCAATGGCGGTCCGTTCCGATCCGCACCCGCTCGATCCATGTATCCCTGGAACGAGAGAGCAGCAGCCAGCGGACTCTGCACTAGCGCCAAACTTCTCAGCACCAGAAGCGTGTTGACTGCCCAGGCAGAGGCTAGCGGGTAGTTTGCCTGGCACACCTACCAAGCTGATCCACGCACGTTTGCCGCAGTGGTCAACCACACGATGCTGAATGTAGAGTGCGTTTGCTGTCTCGAACTGCCAGGTTCGCAGGACGCCTCTTGACTCCAATCTTATTTCCACGGCGAGCCATTCTTGTAAACAACCTGGGCTTGAAAACGTGATCCACCTGTGCTCCGCCAGAAGGTCGTGAGGCCCTGGAGGTTGGCTCCATTCCAACTCCACCACGGCATTCTAAACTCCGTGTATCCGAGGCGAGTAAGCGCTGCCCCTATAGCTGCAGTTCGCCCGACGGCTCAACTATCTGGAGCCTCGACGCTCTGGCGGCGGCGCAGGGCATCGCCATGGACACCAATCGCTCAGAACACAGGCGCATCTGGAGCCGCGACGCGCCTGCCTGCCAGGCAGCATCGACGACGGTGACGACGGCAAGCGACGACGGCGATGCAGAACGACGGACCAGAGATGACGACGGACGACAGACGACGAACGACGACGGTAACGACGACGACGACGACGACGACGGCGGCGCCGACACGCGCCACCTGTTCGCCAGCAGGCACCGGGCGACCTCGGGGCTCGCGGCCACCATCAGCGGCGTGGCGCCGTCGCTGTCGAGCGTGTCCACGTCGAGACCTCTGGGGGCCGCCGGTGAACATGCCTCGGCCTCTGATGTGGGCTCCTGGCCCCTCTCCCTCCTCCTCCTCCTCCTCCTCCTCCTCCTCCTCCTCCTCCTCCTCCTCCTCCTCCTCCTCCTCCTCCTCCTCCTCCTCGTGCGTCGGGGCACCCCGCTCCTTTTCCCCCTCCTCCTCCGCCTCCTCCTCCTGCTCCTCCTCGTCCTCCTCCTCCTTTCCCACCTTCAACATTGTCCTTCTCCCTCTCACTGTCGTCGTCGCTGTAAGCGTCGTCGGCCTCCTCCTCCTCCTCGTATTTTTCTCCTGTTTGCACCCTCTCTTCTCCGCCATCCTCGATCCCCTCCTCTTCCCCCACCATTTCCCTTGACTCTTCAATCGCACCTCCCTGCAAGGGTAGGGAAGATGATGACCATGAGAGGGGTAATGATAACAATGATGAGGATGGCGAGGGGAAGAAAGCGGAGAAGGACGAGGAAACGCTCGAAAATACAAGGCGGTCGGCAATCGTCGCTCGTCCACGCCGTCGTCGCCGCCGTCGTGCCCTCGCCCCCGCCGCCGTCATTCCTCCTCCGCCGTCGTCCTATCTGGAGGAGCGGACGGCCCGGCGAGATGCCGCGATTCCCCGTCCTTGCGCTCGCTCTACGTTTGACATCTCATCCCTCCCTTCCATCCCCCTTCCCATTGCATCGTATTTCCATATCTGCGGACGCGTGTCATAGCCGACACGCAACTTCTAAATTACCCTGCGACGTGCCCAACCCATGTGCATCAAATGGCAAGAGGAGTATGCCAACATTAGCAGGAACAGCGACAGTGTAGACGCGGCGATTTGCTGTGCAAGCTACATGGGATGCGCGTGCGTTGCACGATTCGCAGGACGACGATCGAAAGAACGAGGCTTGAGGCCCCAGGATCGAAGAAGAACGGGTACGGGAACGAGGGGTAGGAGAGGGATGGAATGGAGGGCGGGGGGGCGAAAAGGCCATCGCGGAAGCAGCAGCATGCATGGAGAAGGTGAGGCGGAGAATAGGACGACGATGAAAGTGGCGGGAGGAGACAGAAGACTGCCGCGTTTTTCAAGTGCGAGCTAAACCCGCAGCGCTGCCTGCGCCATGTCGTCGCAGAGTTCCACATGATAAAACTTGTTTAGAGTGCAAGGAACGAGCGAGGCGTAGCTCGCCCGCTAGCTTCTCCGCCTCCTTCCCGCACATTTCAGCGCGGGAGCTGAACGCTCGCAGGCGCGCCGCCAGGTCTGCGGGCGGCCCGCGGGAAAGAAACTCAAGGCCGGGGTCGCGTATCATCAATCGGTTGTCCATCGTCCAAAGTTGCACTGGCGACGTACTGGTTGAACGCGGAGCGAGCAGCATCACGCGCGTGCCTGAACGCCACGCAGGTACAGTGCACGCGCGATTGGGACTTCAGGTCGATCACGCGCGTCTCCACCAGGCTTGGCAACACCACGCGACTGAGGATCTCACTGCGGTCTGCCATGCTGCTGTCCGCGAATGCAATGCGCTGCCTGCAAGTAAGGCGGCGGCGTCCACTTGTCTCAGAAGATGTTCCCGCGGGCCCGAAGGGCGACCGCCAGCTCGAGCCGCGGCGCCGGCAGGCCAGATAAGGATCATGCAACAGCAAAGACGATGACAGAGCAACGAGGTATCGGCGAGTGCATGACCGGCCTCCGTTTCCTGCACTTCTTTCCTGTAGTTCCCCTAGCTCATCGAGCTCAGCAGATGTTTCTGCGGGTCCGAAGGACGACCGCCAGCTCGAGTCGCAGCGCCACGTGGCACGAACCGCAGAGCAAGGGCACGCGAGCATTGCTCGTGGTCAGAATCTGAGTCCCCGTGGTGCCTCACTCCGCTGGCCACCCACCAGCAGCCCTCGAAAGTGGCGACAGTTTCACAGATCGCAGCCGCCCAGGGGTGGCGAGGTCTAATCTGAGTCCCCGTGGTGCCTCACTCCGCTGGACCCACCAGCAGCCTCGAAAGTGGCGACAGTTTCACACAGGGATGGCGAGGTCTAATCTGAGTCCCCGTGGTGCCTCACTCCGCTGGACCCACCAGCAACCCTCGAAAGTGGCGACAGTTTCACAGATCGCAGCCCCCCAGAGATGGCGAGGTCTAATCTGAGTCCCCGTGGTGCCTCACTCCGCTGGACCCACCAGCAGCCCTCGAAAGTGGCGACAGTTTCACAGATCGCAGCCCCCCAGAGATGGCGAGGTCTAATCTGAGTCCCCGTGGTGCCTCACTCCGCTGGACCCACCAGCAGCCCTCGAAAGTGGCGACAGTTTCACAGATCGCAGCCACCCCCAGAGATGGCGAGGTCTAATCTGAGTCCCCGTGGTGCCTCACTCCGCTGGACCCACCAGCAGCCCTCGAAAGTGGCGACAGTTTCACAGATCGCAGCCCCCCAGGGGTAAGAGCAAAAGAAGAGAGGAGGAGGCGGGAAGGAAGGAAGGAAGGTGGAGACCGCAGTGCTCTATTCAAAACGAGTACCCAACGCAGGAGGGTTGGGAAAAAGATCCCATCGCGTTATTCGAAATCGGAAAAGGGGAGCTGCGTTTAAAGGAAGAGAAGGAGGACGACGAGGAGGAGGACGAAGGGGAGGAGGAGGAGGAGGAGGAGGAGGAGGAGGAGGAGGAGGAGGGAAGAGGAGGGAGGACGAGGAGGTGGCGGGTGAGCAGGAGGATGAGCAGGAGGACACGGAGGAGGATGAGGAAGGAGGAGAACAAGGACAACCAGCAGCAGCAACAGGAACTGGAGTCGAAGGAACTGGTGGAGCAGGAAGACCAGGGCAAGGCGGTGGAGGGGAAATGAGGGGGCGATAAAGATGACAAAGGACTCTGATCCATCAAAGTGGTCCGAATGTGGGCGAGAGCGCTAGTTTGAACGACGGGGGCAAAGCACCGATACCAAACTGAGGCCCACGCTGCAGCGGGAACTCTACGTTGGAACTCCGAGGACAACGGGCTTGTAAAACAAAGCAGAGACAAATATTCGAACCCAGTGTGTAAAAACAATACGAGGAGAGGGCCGATCACCTTCCTGACAGACGGGGTTAGGGACTGAGGGGTAAAGATAAGGGAGGGGGTGAGGGTAGGGACGGGCGGTTATGAGTGAGGGCTGCGGGAGCTTTCTTGTCTCAAGATTTCGAGCGACATGTTTATAATCCGCCGACCCCCGCCTGCTGGGAGTGAAACGGCGTGTGAAATGATTGGCTGCCACCCCTCCCCCTTTCCCGCTCCCCTGGAATCTAACATTCTGTCAAAAGGATGAGGCCCAGGGAACTCGTCAACACACCCCTGGGGCATCCCGAGCCTCCAAATCCAGCATCCGTCGCCTCCAAGAGATGGCCGCAAAAGCGTTCAAGATGGCATTCGGACGGCCCTAGATAGCGACAGAGGGCTCCACGACAATCCCAAGAAGGCCTCAAGAGGAGAACAAAGTGGATGTTCCCACGGTGTTTGCATGATTTGGGCGTTCTTGCCTTCTCGGGCGCCTGCACGCCCAGAGCCCTCCTAGACAGGCGCAAAGCGGCCCAATAGACCCCCGAGAGGGCAGCCGAAGAGGGCCCCAAGACGGGAAACAACAGCCAGCCCTCAAAGAGACGCCCAGAGGGCCCCAAGAGAGGCCCCAGAGGGGCAACCCGCAGGGACCCCGGGAGCCGGGGTCCCCCCCTTCCAAGATGACCCCACAAACACGCATATGATTCCAAGAGGCCCCCAAGAAGCGCCCTCATGGGATCCAAAACGCACCCCGGAGCGCAGAGAAAGCGCCAAGAGGCCGCCCTCTGGGCCTCCAAGGGGCTGACAAGAAACCCCGCAACAGACACGGAGGAAGAGGAGGACGAACGAGGAGCGACCGCACACAGGCCGCAAGACGGGAAGTCGCAAGCAACGCGTGCATCGGAAGCCGCACATGTTCCGATTCTGGGTGTCTGCGGGATGGCGTAAACCTCTTTGGACCCCCTGGAGCGCCCTCGTAGCCCACGGCTGGATTCGCCTTGGGACTCTGGTCAAAACTCACCTCTGGGGAAATACAGTAGGAGCTCGATCACAAGAAATTTTCCACAAGAAGCCCAACCCCGAGACCCCGGGACGCCCATGGATTCTTGGTGTGGGAATGTCGCGCTTTCCAGAGCCAAACCATCGAAACCCGAGAAACCCAGGGCACACTGGAGGCAAGCAGGGTGTCTCTTGGCATGGGCCCCCACTGTAGGGGGGTGGGGGGCCCGAGGGTTTAGGGCCCCATCTGGGGCCCCAGATCTGGCGGAAAAAATCGGTGCCTTCTCCTGCTCCTCCTCCTCCTCTTCCTCCTCCCCCCCGTATCCTGTTTCCTTCCCCCTCCTCCTCTTCCCCCGTATCCTATGTCCTTCCACCTCCTCCTCTTCCTCCCCCTCCATCTCCTCCTACTCCTTCTCCTCCAACTTCTCTTCCTCCTGCTCTTCCTCTTCCTCCTCCTCCTCCTCCTCCTCCTCCTCTTCCTCCTCCTCCTCCTCCTCCTCCTCCTCCTCCTCCTCCTCCTCCTCCCCCTGAAGCCCACGGCCGGATTCGCCTCGGGGTTCTGGTCAAAACCGAGGAAGGGGAAACGCAGGTGCGGATAACTCCGAGGAGGGCGATGGGGGAAGACACGGAGAGGGAAAGGCGCAGAACCTGGAACGACTGCAAACAACTTGCGTGCCGCACGTTCTTGCTTATATGCGCATCCAATATATACGATGGGGGCCTTGGATAAGGCACCCTTCGATTAGGAATCCAGGGTCTGGAAGCCCGTGGAACTCCAACTGATGTTAGGCCGTGGACATCACCGTCACCCTCGTCAGATAAGACATCCTCCAGGGTCTAAAACCTCCAGTGCACATTCCTTAACAAACGTCCTCCACCGTGCATTTACATATGTATATATAGAAAAACATGTATATATATGTATATATATATGTATATACATATATATATATAAATATAAATATAAATGCACATATAGATAGGTGTGTATATGTATACACATAGATATTCTGCGTCTGGAAGCCGTGCCGTCGCAGGGCCCCGGGACCTTCAAAAAACGAATCACGATGAAAACCAAACCCCGGAAAAAGGGCCATGAAGATTCATGGGCCAACGACTCGTAAATCTAGAACCGTCGGAACTCTTGGGTGAGGAGAACTGGGGGTCCCCAAACCGTGTGGTAACAGACCGTGGGGTGATGTCGGGATCCTCAAAGACCTCATCGCATGCACGGTCCGTCACCTCACAATTTTGGGACGCTGGAAGCCCCAAGTGTCCGAGGCGTCCTCGGAAAACAACCCAAGTCCCAGACCCGTGCGGAGGGAGTCGGCGGGTTCTGGAGGCTCCCTGCGCAGCTCGTCTTTGAGGATCCTCGAGGTTCCTTCTGGGGCCGGGTGTGAGGTCATTCCGAACCGGAATCGCTGGCGGCTCGTGGCCCGTGGTCTCCAGAATGGTCTCCCATACGGTCTCCCGTATGATCTCCCGTATGGTCTCCCGTATGCTCCCCCGTAAGGTCCCCCGTATTCTCCACCGCACGCGCAGTGTGTTATCATGATCTCTTTACTCTTGAAGTCTGTTGTTAGGGGTCTTCTGCTGCCAGGGTGCATTTGGTGGTGAAGTTTGGGGCTGTCCTTGGAAATTATACATTGTTGGTACTTCTGGGAGTGTCTGGGTGGCACAGGGAGGAGGAGGAGGAGAAGGAGGAGGAGGAGGAGGAGGAGGAGGAGGAGGAGGAGGAGCGGGAGGAGGAGGAGGAGGAGAAGGAGGAGGAGGAGGAGGAGGAGGGGGAGCAGGAGGAGGCGGGAGAGGGGGAGGGTGAAAAGTAGTCATGGTCAGGCTGCGTCTTTTTGAGTCCTCCTCTAGGCCTCATCCTCTCTCCCCTCGTCTTCGTCCTCGACACTCCTCTTCCTCCTCCTCCTCCTCCTCATCTCCTGGTCGTCCTCATCCCTCTTCCCCGCACCCCAAGACGACGCACGTCCGGCGTGCCCACACATGCTTCTGGGATTCCAGAGCTTCTGAGACGTACAGTCCTCGAGGGATCCGTTGTGGATCCCCCTCGAGGCTGGATTTTGCTGAGGGATTATGAACCTATCGAAATGGAAGCACAGACAAATTCTTGGTGCTCCCATCCGACAACAAGCAATCTGAGACCGAACGAGGCCTCGCAAATCATTTGATTTTTTGACTTGCATGCTGGGGGTACTCGTCCCTGGACACCTTCGCCGTGGCCTCCTTTGGATGGCCGAAAACATTCAAATATTTCCACCTGCGCGCGGGCCTGAGTTCTCGACATCGGCGCTGCTCGGAGGGGCTACAGTGGAGGCCAGTCCACAACAAAAGACCCTCCGCAAGAAGCCTAACCCTGAGATCCCAGGACGTCCTTTGATTCTTGGTGGGAACGTCGCGCTTTCCACAGCAAGACAATCGAAACCCAAGACACCCAGGGCACACTGAAGGCAAGCAGGGAAATTCTTAGCATGGGCCCCCACTGTATGGGGGGGGGACCCCAGGGTTTAGGGCCCCATGTGGGCCCCAGATCAGGCGGACAAAATCGGCGCTTTTTTTTGCTCCTCCTCCTCCTCTACCTCCTCGCCCCCCCCCCGTACCCTATTTCCTTCGCCCTCCTCCTCTTCCTCCTTTTCCTCCTCCTCCTCCAACTCCTCCTCCTCCTCCTCCTCCTCCTCCTCCTCCTCCTCCTCCTCCTCCTCCTACAACTCCTTCTCCTCCTCCTCCAACTCCTACTCCTACTCCTCCTCCTCTCCTCCTCCTCCTCCTCCTCCTCCCGAAACGGCCGCCACAACATGTCTAATGTGTTTTGGATCAGCTGGAATTTCGGCTGGCGTCCAGGTGAAATCAAAGGCTTTCGCTGATTCCCACTCCAGAGGGTGAGCAGATCCTGGTGAATATGTAAAGCCCGTTCCCTGGCAGGACAAACATTATGGGAGTGTACTGGGATCGCTGCTCCCTCTGCAGTACCGTCTCTGCTCCCTCTACAGTTCGGTCGGGCATGTCCTCCTACAGGCGGGCTTCGAAAGAAAACAGCAAAATCCAAAGAACTTGGTGTATGACTATACTATCACAACACATCGGCACCGTACTATCTGTTTTGGCAATTCTAAACGATCTGTTTTGGCAATTCTAAACGATTCTTCCTGTACGAAGACATGCCTGACTTAACTCTAACATGCTCCCTCCACCTGATCTCATTCCTCAATACTCAGTGGGCACTGCTCCCGCAGACTCCGCCGACGGGACAACTCGAGACGTGCCACAAGAGCGCAAACATAAGCAGCAATGGCGAGAAAGGGCAGCACTGGAGAACGAGACCAGGAGGATGACAACAAGATCATGGACAAAAGTTCACGGTCATGCGAGGGCGACAAACACATGGCTTGGTCGATCTGTGCTGGAAGAGGGGGCAGCCCAGACGTTTACCATGTGCCCGCCCAGCGAGAAATTGACAGAAGAGAGAAAGAGAGAGGGAGAGAGGGAGAGAGCAAGAGAGACAGAGAGACAGGCAAAGAGACAGACAGACAGACAGACAGACAGACAGACAGACAGACAGGCAGACAGACAGACAGACAGACAGACAGAGAGGCCATCAGACAGACAGACAGACAGACAGACAGGCAGACAGACAGCCAGACAAATACAGAAAGAGAGAGAGAGGGAGAGAGCGAGAGAGAAACACAATCAACGGCACTCATTTCGGGACCGCGCCGCGCAAGGAATCTCAACAGCAAATTCCGCAGCGCGCCCTGCGACTAGCCACCGGCTGAGGGCGAGCCGGAGCGGGAGAGTGCCTGCGCAGTGCGGCACGTGCGGGGACACGCGTGCCTGCCCATACGAGGTCTGGGCTCTGGACATGCACACGCACGCATGCGCACCCAGTTCCCGCCACATCAACCGCTCTCCCCCCCCCACCCCCCCGCCCGCCCGACAGGAGGAGGGGGAGGGGGAAGAGGAGAAGGAGGAGGAGGAGGAGGAGGAGGAGGAGGAGGAGGAGGAGGAGGAGGAGGAGGGGGGAGAGGAGGGGGAGGAGGAGGAGGAGGAGGAGGGGGGGGGAGGAGGGGGAGGACGAGGAGAAGAAGGAGGACCGGATTGGACTGGAACGCTTACGACCCTGGTTATATAGTCCTGACTGCAGCGCGTTGCTCTTGAGCAACAGATGTGTACGAGGATCTGCGAACAGCACGGGGCTATAGCCTGCAGCCTCGCTGGGGGAAAACCACTGGCCCTAAGCAGGACCGCCTTGTGGGGAGACTGGCCCATGACGGCCTACAAGGGCACCATCCTCCAGCGGCAGGCTCGCATTGGAAAGGAGAACCGAAAGTCTCCTCCAATTCAAGGGACGACGGGCGAGAAGAAACAGGACACCGCGGACACACACACACACACAAACAAACACACACACACACACACGCACACGCACACCCACACACACACACACATACACGCGCGCGCGCACGCACGCACACGCACACGCACACGCACACGCACACGCACACGCACACGCACACGCACACGCACACGCACACGCACACACACGCACACGCCACACGGAGGCCAGGAGACGAAAGAGAGCAGGCAACAGCAGCAGCCGCGGAAAGGGCAGCAGGCAACGGAGGGGGCCGTGGCGCTACGTGCGAAACTCTGACTCAGGTGGCGGTGCCACAGGCGAGGGCGGAAGAGGAGGAGGAGCGAGCAGCGCACTCGAGGCACGCGCATCAGCAGCGAAAGGAGAGGACTCGAGGTTACTCGGGACCTGCCTGACCTGGGCGGCCCTCTGAAGGGCCTGCACGACCGTTACTTTAAACTCCAAACGGTTCAGGATAAAACGCTTCGAACTTCACCTACCTCGATTGGTACTGTAGAATGGGTTGGGTGCGTTGCCTCTGGAGAGTCTCTAGCAGGGCGTGCCCAAGGTGGCCCAGTTGGGCCAGCTCAAGCATCATACTTGAGTTCCGAATTGAGACAAGGCGAGCAAGTTGCAAGATCCTCTGCCTCAGCCGATCAGATGTCCCGTGCCTGGAACTGCTCGCCAGGGGTGGCGCTGAGCTGCCATGCGGGGAACTGCTCGGAGCCGAACCAGGAGGCGCCGAAGTGGCGCGCGAAGGTGGGGCCAGACTGGCCTCCCTAAGGATGGGCTGCGTAAAAATCTGACAGGCCTCCTCTTCGGGAGGAAGCCCCGAGTGGCCTCTAAGAACCTGCAAACTCGCCGCAGAGTCCTGGCCAGGAAAGGGGCTGCCCCGAGTGGCCTCTGAAACGTGCAAACTCGCCTCAAACACGTGGCTGGAGGTCTGGCAAGGGGCTCAGTGGGCAGACAGCCTCAGTCAGTGTGCCACATGTTTGGCCACCTCCTCGGGCGCCATGCCGAACTTCTGGAGAAGACGCTCTGCATCCCGTTCCAGGGCTCCCTTTGGTGCTGCCCCCGCTCTGTGTTTGCCGCCTTGCTTGCGAATGCACACCTGGAAGGCCGCGTGGACTGTCGCCATCGCGCCTTCGATCATGACCCCCGGGCTCTGGATGTAGGGGCGCATCCTGGCCTGCAACTTGAACTGGTCCGCTGTCGTTGTGCATGGCTTCTTGTCGAGCCAGTAGGCTCGAATGCGGCAGTAGCGTGCGTGCTCCTCCCAGACTCTCAGCGTCTCGGGCTTGTCCTTCTTGCTCGTCTGGCTCCAATAGTGCTTGAGGGCGGCCGCTGCTTGCTGCTCCACTTGATCGGGTGCCGACGCCATCGTCTCCAGGAAGTGTGCCACCAACGCCATGAATATGTGGGGCCATGGTGGCCCGTTGTCGTGCTGCTTCCCCTGCTCTTTGCAAAATGCTGCATAATCTTGCCCTGGTTGCTGCATCACTTTGATGAGGGCGCGGCCGCTGGCAGAAGAAAAGAAGTGGACGTAGCGCCCGTGATTTCCGCGATATGTCGTGCGCTGGTGAGAGAAAGCCTGCACAAGACTGTGGACAAGGCCGCCATGATGCCGCCTTCTTTGCCCTTGAGCTCCTGGCACCGAGCCTGGTCCACGACTGTCTGCTCTAGACGCCGCCGCGCCTCGTCGCTGCCTGGTGCCGCTGCACTCGTTCTGCGCTTGCCCAGCGACCACGCTGGTGCCGACGCCATTGCCCTCGAACAGAACTGGAAGATGATGGAAGTGGCTACGAAGGTGATGGGAGAGCTTGGTCGGGCCAGCAATCTGAGCCGCACGTAATGGGCAATCTGAAATCAAGGGGGTCGGCGTGCGAAATGTCGTACTTCTGTTAAACCATACATATTCCACTCTGGTAGGAATATTCTACATGCTTGTACGCTAAATTCCTGGACTCGAAGACGCTGTTACATACAAAACATTGGTTGTTGACCACAGCCGTGCCGATAATTGATTTTGAGGCCATGTTAGTTGTGTAGATGTGCCAGGGCTTGCCGTTTGCTTTGGAACCTTCTGGAGCACCCCTGGACAGTGCACCCATCTTCTCCGTCTTCGACCGGGGGCTTTGGAGTCCCTTGAGGCTCCTCAGTAGGTGGGGTCCAGCTTGGCGGCGGAATCCGAATAGCCTGAAATGCTGCTCGAATCTCTGTTGTATCAAAGAGCGTGAACCAATCGATCAGCTCTGGGTCAGAAAACAAGCGAAGAGGCTGCCCGTCAAATAACTGCACCATGCTGTACTCTTCATTCCCGAGCTCTGCCAACAAAAACAAACATCATCCACGAATCTGCGAGCCCAGGGGCAGGCGGCCTCGCTGAGGCGCGCCTCGTCATTCACAATGCGCAAGTTGTTGGCGAGCTCGACTCGCATGCTGCCCAGAAGTGCTCCCCATTCGGCTAGATGCGCTTTAGGTTTAGCCACCCATTTCTGATACCACCTGATACGTCTAGTTTTGAGTTCAAGTTCCACTGGAAACATCTGCCAATAACGATAAACCTGCACGTTAGAGATCGAAACCTGGTGACCGTCCTTCTCATAGGTAGCTCCTCCTCTCATCGCCCTCCTCGCATAATGGAATACTCTAGTTTGCAGCTTGCGTAGGCGTACTGGCGTTAGAACGCGTGCTTCTAATCCTGATACTGCTGGGCCCAGGACACGAGAAAGAAAGACCGCGCGCTTCTCGTCGGAGGGGATGCTATACTGGTACCAGTATCTCCCCATGCTATGAAACCCTGCGTCTATGGCTGCCAGTCGTGCTGGAAGCTCGCTGTTAAAAGTGCAGCCGGAACGGATGAGACCGCCCAGCATCTGGCGAGAAGGAGGAGGAGGAGGAGGAGGAGGAGGAAGACTAGGAGGAGGAGGAGAAGGAGTCTGCGGTCCACAAGGGCATGTCCGAACGCCCAGCAAGGCGCGGGCGAAACACGCCCTGGCACACAACAGTGCCATCACCGCCCCCCTATGCACACAGGGCACAGGTGTGCAAAGCGGAAGCAGGCACAAGCTGAATCCGTCCTCCGCCCTCCTATTATTGGCTAACCCCCAATAGCGGCGGGAACGCCGCCGACTGCTAGAAGTCAATGCCCTCGCCCGACCGCCATCGCACACCTCCTCCGCCTCCTCCTCCTATTCTTCCTCCTCCTCCTCCTCCTCCCCACCAACAACCATTCTCCCGAGTCGGTGGGAAGCGGGGGTAGGGTTCGGATTTCGCCGCGTGTCCGACGAATTCCCAACCTTACCTGAGGGGCAACGATCAGGGGGGACTGGCAGAAGGAGAGGAAACATCGACCCGGAATCGGCGATACATGGCCGATGGATCGGCGATCGGCCCCCGATAGTGACTCCAGACATTGCTGTGGGTGTGTGGGCTATCGGGCCCGCATCGGCGAAGCATGGACGATTGGGGGTCGATGTATCCCACTTATGCATACCCTCCATGTCGTTGTCCCTGACTGCCCTCGCTGCCCATCGACTTGCCTGAATCGTTGATCGGCGAGGGCAGGGCTCGCCTTTCGCCGCCGAAATTGGCTCCTAGCTCGACGGCGTCGTCCCCCCTGGCCTTCCCCACACCGCGCGAGCCGCCCGACCCGGCACGGCCTCTGCTCCCGGAAGTCCGCAGAGGCCTGTGCACAGCTTTGCGTGGGCCGTCCATACGGGGTACAGGTCCATACGGAGTGCTCGGTCTCCGAATGGATTTGCTCCGTCTGGGCCGAGCCTCTCCTGATGGGAAGCCAGATCCATACGGACTGAGTCCATACGGAGTGCTTGGTTACCGTATGCATTTACTCCGTCTGGACCGAGCCTTTCCCTATACGAGACTAGATTCATACAAGGTAAGTCCATACGGAGTGCTCGGTCTCCGTATGGATTTACTCCGTCTGGATCTAGCCCCTCCTGGTAGGATGCTGAGCCCATACGGAGTAAGTCCATCCGGAATTCTCGGTCTCCGTATGGACTTCTGCCTGGGCCCAGCCGCAACCGATGGGGCCCGAAGCGGGAGGGCGTCAGCAGAGGCCCGCGCTGGCGTCGCCAGCAGATGCCCGCCGTGCCCAGAGCTTCGTGGGAAGGCTCGGGCCTCATCCGGAGGGGAGCGGCGTTGCCTCGTCTTTTTTGGGGGGTGGTCTGGCTCTCCCGGGGCTCGCTCACACGGCTCCGCGGTGCTGGTCCTGCTCATCTTTCCCCTCCTCCTCCTTCTCCTCCTCCTCCTCCTCCTCCTCCTCCTCCTCCTCCTCCTCCTCCCCCTCCTCCTCTTTCTCCTCCTCCTCCTCCTCCTCCTCCTCCTTTTCCTCCTGGTTCCTAGTTCCTGGCGGATGGAAAAGAAGTTCGCATCCTCCTCCTCCTCCTCCTCCTCCTCCTCCTCCTGGCGGGCGGGGGTTGGGAACTGAATGTGGCGGGAACTGGATGCGCATGCGTCCGTGTGCATGTCCAGAGCCTGGACCACCTCCTCCACCTCCGGGGAAGGGGGTGATGGCGAAAGAAGGGGGGCGGGGAGGCGGGGATCTCACTGCCCCCGCGGCCGCGGGGGGGCGCGCGGGCTCGCGCGCGGAGCGGCGGTGGCCAGGTCACGCGGTCCTGACGGGCGGGCAGGGCGCGGCGGAGGGCGCGGCGGAGGGGGGGAGGGGGGCAGGGCGCGGCGGTAGGGCGGTTTCGCTCTTGGGCCATCCTTGGACAGGGGAGGCGAGGGGGAGGCGGGGGGTGGGTGGGACGAGGAGGGCGAGGATGACCAGGAAGGGAGATCGGGAAGGAAAGGAGGGGGAGATAGAGTCGGAGGGGGAGGGGAGGAGGGAATGACAAAAAGAATACGGGGGAGGGAGGGGGGGAACAGGGAGAAATGAGACCCGCGAGGAGGGAGAGGAGGGCGAGGAAGACGAGGAGAAGGGGAGGGGGCTAGGAGGGAAGAAAACACCCTCCTCACAATCAGGCCAGGGGGGGCAGAACTTCGGGGCAGAACCCCGGCTGTGGCGCCACGAGGGGCTGCCAACAACGCGCGACAACGCCCCAAAAGTCTCGACCCTCGACCTCGAAGGCGGGGAGGAGGCGGGACCCCCGGGAGGGCGACGGAGGGAATGATCGAGGACTGAGGGGTCGTTGATCGAGGATCTCCGGTCGAAGGTCGGGGGTCGAGGGTCCAGAGCGGGCCCCGAGGGTCGATGGCGCGCGCGCGCGAGCGCCCGCGCCAGGCCCCTCCGGGCCGCGCCCCGGCCGCGCATCCCCGGCCCCTGCGCCGCGCTGCCGCGAACCAGCGCCCCGGGCCTTGGGAAGGCCATGTCGGCACTTTGCGGATGGGGCGCGGCCCGCGAAAGCAGCCAGGGAGGGACCGAAGGGGATGGTTGCAAGCCCTCGGAGAGTTGCTCATCCTTGCGCTGTGCGGGTTGACTGTGCGTGTGTGTTTTTCCATTCGCGGTCCCAGGGGTCCCGACGCTTTTCCCGGAATTCGCGTTTCGCCCAGGATCCGTTCCTGATGGCCCCAGATCCGCGAACGGGCCCGGGAGGCCGACACATCAACGACAAACGCCGGGATTGAACGACTGTTTCGTCTGAGAGCTGGGGTGGGGCTCCACCTTGGTCGCAGGCAGGGGCCCTCAGGGTCGAAGGCGCACGTCGGCAAGGAGGATGGAGGAAGGAACACTGCTGGCTGAACAGGAACTGTATGAAGTCCGCGCGTAATTCTTGGATCTGCGCGCCCAGTTCTGGTCCAAGAAGCCCGCGCGCGGCCCCGAAAGCTCATGTGTACGCCGTGCTTTGCTCCTCGATCGAAGACAAGCGTCGACCGTCGCTTGCATCCTCCTCCTCATCCTCCTCCTCCTCCCGCCTCCTCCTCCTCCGCCTGCTCCCGCCTTCTTCTCCTCCTCCTCCTCCTCCTCCTCCTCCTCAGGAGCGCACGGGCGCTCCTGGTGATCACGTGCACGCCGCGCTCGGACACCACGATGTCGCTGACCTGGCCGACCTGCAGCGCGAAGGCCGCGCGCACGACGGCCGCGGGCACCTTCGCCTTCGGCGGGGGGGGGCAACTTTATAGAGGCCTCCTAGATGGGATCGGAGTAGACGGGGTCGGAGGACCGCGCCGCATCGCCGATGCATCGGCGATGCGTTTGGGACGTTGGCGTGAAGGAAATCGGGCTCCACATCGAGCCGCATCGGCGAGACATCGGCGATGCGGCGCGATCCTTCGACCTCATCTAGTCCGACCCCATCTATGAGGCCCAGGCTTTACCCGCGACCCTCGATGGACCCTGAGACCCCGGCGTCGCCGATTCTCCGCATCGGACGATGATTCGGCTTCGCTTCGGGCCCCGAGGGACCTCACGGATCGCTCGGGCCCGAAAAGGCACACAGACGGGGCCCGGAGCTCTGCTCTGGCCGGGCAACCTGCAGCTGCAGGCTCGCGTCGGCGGGCCCGCCAGCGCTGGGGAGGAGGGGTGCGGAGATCGCCGCCGAGGTCGCCCCCGAGGTCGCCCCGAGGAGAGAGGGAGGACGAGGAGGAGGATGAGCAGCAGGAGGAGGAGGAGGAGGAGGAGGATCAGAGCTCTTTCGTCGCGTCGAACCTCAAGGAGGATTGGGGGAGGTCAGGCGCTTCTGGCCCATGCCAGGCCTCCAGGGGTCTCCAGAAACATCCAGAAGCCTCTGGGGACCCACGGGGGTCAGGATCCAGGGAGGCAGCAGAACCTGCTATCATCATTGCTTCTTCCTCCTGCTCATCCTCCTGGTCCCTCGCTCCTCCTGATGTCCTTGTCCTTACGAACAACTTCCTGCGAGGCCAATCGTAAGGGCGGGCTGGGCGTTTTGCCTGGGACTTCCTTACCATTTGTTGTCCTGGAGCTCACAACTTGGCAACACCTTCGCGGATGGAGAGCGGGCCGCTTCCAAAATGGAACTCTTGCCTGGCGCCGCACACGTCCGTCCTAAAACAATGCAAGAGCTTCACGGGTTGAGGGCGGATAGGGGTTCAGAAAATGTGGCTCTCGCCTTAGCGCCGCACGCATTCGTCTAAAACTGTGCATGATCTTTACGTATTGAGGGCGGCCGTTTTCAAAATGTAGCTGTCGCCTTTTGCGCTGCACACGTTCGTTCAAACAGATGGCAAGAGCTTCACGGATTGAAGTCGGGCCGTCTTCAAACTGTAGCTCTCGCTTTAGCGCTGCGCATGTTCGATTTAAACGTTTGCAAAGAATCCTTAGATTGAGGGCGACTCCTTTTGAACACGTGTCTCTGGTCTTAGCGCCGCGCACAAGCATCTCACGGATTCCCAGGGTTCGCGTACCAGAAATGGCGTCTGGAACGATTCAGGATTATCAGGGCGCAATAATTACATTGCATTGACTCGCGGTGCCCAAATCCCAGGAATGGCATTCAGGATCGTCAAGACGCAACTTTCAAATTGATTCGTGGCGTTGAAAGCTCGAGAATGGTGTTTGGCACGCATCAAGACCGGCACGCTTCAGGATCTTCAATCGGTTGTCTCCCAAGGGGGCACTTCCTTCAGTGCAAACGAGTCCGTGTATGTGCTCATGCAGAGGAAACTTGGCAGAAGGATTTTATCCGAAAATCGTTGATCAGTCTTGGGTTTGCACTGGCCCCTTTCTTTATGATAGACCAACAACTATAGGCGGCGCCTGGAGCGTGCATAATCTCTGGTTCCTCCTCCTCCTTCTTCTCCTCCTCCTCCTCCTCCTCCTCCTCCTCCTCCTCCCCCTCCTCCTCCTCCTCCTCCTCCTCCTCCGCGTTGCCATTGTTTGGCTCGAGGGGGCTGCCGCAACCGCGTGCCGCCCCGGCTCGGCAGACCCAGGAACAGGCCCGCCTTAAGCTCGTTCCCCTTGGCCTCCGGCGAGGGCCGAGTCTCGCCTCGCCGCCCTGCGAAACGATGGCCTTCGTCTCGTCAGCGAGCGTTGAAGACACACGGTGGGGGCATCTTTTTTAAACTCTTCAAGGGCCCCTCGGGGCTCGTGCGTGCATCTGGCTTCGGAGGCGCGGGCGCTAGCCGCGCTCGCGGGCCACGGCCGCCGCCGCCTGCTCGTCCCGCGCCGCCTGGCCCCTGACTCGCGCCATCGTGAGCTCGCCGATGGTGGGGGCATTGGACAAGGAACCCTTCTGTAAGGAGTCCAGAGGCTGGAAGCCAGTGGGAATCCAATGGTGGATCGGCCATGGATGTCACCACCGCCCACCGCCACTCATCAGAGAAGGAATCCTCCAGGGTCTGCAGCCTCCTGGGCGCAGTCCTGAAACACCGCGCCCACCGTATCTGCCAGGGCCTTAACTCTGCGGCAAGGGTTTTGTGCAAGAGCACGTCGGACGCCACACTCAAGAAACAACCGGTGGACCTAGACATCGCATGCACCCTGGAGCCGGCACATCAGCACCGGGCGCTCATCACAAATTCTGGGCCAGGTAGCGGCAAAAATGAGTAACAGTCGCCGCACCATGAGTAGGCGCAGCTCGGTGGTACCGAGGACAGCGATATGACTGTGCGGGCCGCCTCCAATGAGAATTCATCGGGCTGGTATCGACCACAGGTCGAGGACTGTATCCACGATCTCAAGACCATCCTCATGGCCATTCGAGCTGACATCTTAGGTATCGAGCCGATGCGCAGCATCGCTAGGGACGTCTGGAGCCAACGCCAGGAGAAGGCAACTGTTGCTTTTGCCGTCAAGTTCATCCAGACCGACGGCCAAACGCACAAGACAGGCTACACTCCCAGCGTCAAGACCGACAATAATCTTTCATCCGACGAGTTCTTGGACGCAAGCGCGGCATTCAACAAGGACATCGCCTTCGAGTCCATCAATGGCGGCATCGCCAGCAACATGGAGGCCAAGGCTCACATCAAGGAATCCCTCGGCGTGCTTGTGGGGACAATCAAGGCGAATGCTGACGCCATGTAGTCAGTAGAGCCTAACGGAATCGCCTAGCAATAAGCAATTCATACAGCAGCTCAGCAAAGTGCGCTCCATCCATTCCATCCGGGAAACAGCTCCTCCGCACAAAACCCTACATTGCCGACACGCGCAATGGGCGAAGTATCGCTCCAAGACGCCCACGATGGCTAAAGACGGCCCAAGATGTCCCCGAAACGACCGAAGAGGCTTTCAAGAGGCCTCCTGAGAGGACCCCAAGCGGCAACAATCAGGTATTCTCCTTTGGTTCTTGAGGGATTCTGGCGTTCTCGCCTTTTCGGCTTCCCGACGCTCCAGGACGGCCCGAGAAGCCCCCAGGATCGCCTCAAGAAGGCAAACTATGCTTCCAAAAGGGCCCCCTAAACAGCCTAAGAGGCGCCCAAGACGGCCCAAGAGGCCCCCACGACGGCTCCAAGAGGGGGCCCCGATGGAGGACCCGAATGGACATTTCGAGACCTCGGCCCCGGGAGGCTCCCAGGAAGCCCCCACGAGGCCGCTGAGAGGCCCTCAGAGGTCCCCAGGAAGCCCTAAGAGGCAGGCTCCCAAGATGACCCCAAGAGGACCAAAGAGGCTCCCAAGAGGCCCCACAACTGCCCCCAAGAGGCCCTCGAGAATGCTCCGACGAGACCCCCCAAAAAACACCCCTGAGGACCCTGACCCACAACCCAAGCACGGTGGCGGGGTGGGCCGAACGCCATTCGACAACTCCCTTCAGGCCGGGACGTGCGTTTCGCTGGAAAAGTTCCTTGCTCAGCACGATCCCGAAACCGAGCACTTCAACAGTTATAAGCTTGTGAGGATGAAGGGCTGGTCGTTTTTCAACATGCGGCTCTCGCTCTGGCGCCGCGCCCACTCGTCGTAAAGCTCCGAGGGGCACATGTGGAGGATGGTCGCTGGTTTTCAATTCGGATCTAGCCTGCGCGCCGCGCAAACTCGCCTTAAACACATCCAGTACTCACCTGGGTGGGGGGGGACGAAATGCGGCTCTCGCTTGGCGCCGTGGACACTCGTTTAAAAACAACTCCAGAAAAATACATCGATGGCGGCCGGTTTGTATTCAAAATGCGGCTATCGCTGGAGACTCCCCCCGATAGAAACACCCGTGTTGTCTCACAGCTACACGGCTGTAGGGCGGCTCCTGTTCAAAATGAGGCCATCGCTTGAGACTCCCGCAATTGTCATGACCAGCGCGTTGCCTTGTGCAAAACTTACACGAGTGGACGGCACATCACTTTCAACACGGGGCTACGGTTGGGCTGCTGAATTAAGGACCGCTAACCAAGGAACGAAGCCCCTCTGTGGTTTCAAAAAAGTCTGGGTGCACGAGAAGGGCTAGAGGAACAACCACGGAAGGACGTAAGGAACATCGAGCCCCCTCCGAATCCAAACTGTTCCTTATATCAGCGTCTGTGGTTGTATCGCGTCTTCGAACTTTCTCCCCCGGGCCGTAGTGCTTCGGCTAGCTACAACGACGCAGGGCGGTTCCGTCACGGCACGGGGCCTCGCCCGAAAGGCAGGCCCGTCTGGCCTTGGTCGTTCAAGGGGGGGCGCTTCCAACAGTGGAGATGAATAGGTGCATGGGACGTATGATGAATGGGGCTTGGAACGGGAGGGCGTATCGCAACCTCGTCGACGTATCCTGGGTTTACCCTGGTCCTCCTCTGTCGTCTCTTGCTCCTTTCTCATTCTCCTCCCTCCTCGCAGATGCTCAGGGGGAGCACGGAAGTGGGGAGAGAGACTGGGGCAGGGAGGGGAAGGGCGGACGAGGGGGGAGAACGTGAGGAGGGAGACAGGGCCAACAGTGTCAGGATGGTGGGAGGAGGATCTGGGAGATCAGGAAGAGGACGAGGAGGAAGGAAAGGGAGAAGGATGAGAATGAGGATGAGGAGGGTGAGGAGGGAGGACGAGGGGAAGGGAGGAGCGACGCGGTATGAGAAAGAAGGGAAGCGCGAGAGGAGGGACGCATGCGGGAGCACGAGGAGGGGGCGGCCGCAAGGACGCGGCCCTGCCCCAGCCTTGTTCTTCTTCGGGTCCCGGTCGAGCCACCTGCAGGGTTTGGAGCACGCGGGCCGATGTCCGCGGGGTGTCGTGGGAGGGGTGGTCGGTGCCAGGAGGGCATGCCGGGCGGGGACCAAGAAAGGGCACTGGGGGGCAACAGAAAAATATCCATACCGCTACTCCGCGGACCTCTCCTGCACTGCGTTCCGGTGAAGATTTCGAGGCGAATCCAGCCGTGGCGGCGAGGGAGGGGTAGCGGCATTGGTGTATCTTCCTCTTCCTGGGCACTGCGCTCGACAGAGGTCCTTCCAGAAGCAATCGAGGCGGATGCCGCGCCGGGAGGCTGCGCCACACCGGACGGTGCAGAAGGCCGGCCAGAGGGCCCGGCAGCGTCGCTGGCGGGCGCGTCGCGACGCGTGGGCGGCAGCAGCACTGGGCCAGGGACCAGGGGGGGGCAAGGAGTCGTCGTGGGACCGACGTGTGAGCGCAAGGCTGAACTTCCCGTGTGCTCTGCATGCAAGCTCGAGGGAGAGCTGTGAGAAGAGAACAAGGGACAAGCATCGAGAGGAGGCAAGAAGGCGGAGGAGGGAGGCGGAGGAGGGAGGCAGGGAGGAAGGGATGACGGGGGGCAGGGAAGGAGGGCGAGGGAGCCAGACCCCCTCGCGTCGCGAAAACAGCGCATAGGAATGCGTGTTCCCTTTTTTTGGCCTCCGGGGGCAGTTATTGGGCCTCGGAATGGGTCCAGACTTCGGGGGTGGGGGTCCACGTTATAAACAAATCACGACGTCGGGGGTCCGTGCCTGAGGAGGAGGAAGACGTAGGACGTTCTGGGCGGTCTGCCCAGCACCGCGTGTGTGTGTGTGTGTGTGTGTGTGTGTGTGTGTGTGTGTGTGTGTGTGTGCGTGTGCGTGTGCGTGTGCGTGTGCGTGTGCGTGTGCGTGTGCGTGTGCGTGTGCGTGTGCGTGTGCGTGTGCGTGCGTGCGTGCGTGCGTGTGTGTGTGTGTGTGTGTGTGTGTGTGTGTGTGTGTGTGTACGTGTGTGTATGTGTGCGGGGAGGAGAGCAGGGGAGGGGGCTCGGGAGGCCCTTCCGCTCGAGTGCCCGCCAATCCCCCTGAGACCCGACGACGCGAAAACAACAGACAACATCTTGAACACATCACGACTCTCAAGCCCCAGGCCTCATCTGTCTGCGGCATTTCTCGAGCCGGGTCGATCTGTGATGGCCCGAGGGCCCGAAGCCCAGCGCGAACGCCCAGCTCGACAAAACCTGCCACGCCCGATGGGGACGACTGGGATGTGAGGGGCTGGGATGGATGGAAGGTGGGGAAGGGAGGGGGAGCCCTCTAGTCCTAGTCCTTCTCCTACTCCATTAAGTCCTCCTCGTCCTCGTACTATCGTCCTCCACGTCCCCTCGTCCTCTTACCTACTCGTCCTCCACCCTCATCGCCCTCCACAACATCCTTCGCGTCCTTCAGGAGATCATCTACGTGCTCCACGTGCTCCACGCGATCCTCCACGCCCTTGGAGTGATCCTCCTCCTCCTCCTCCTCCTCCTCCTCCTCCTCCTTCGCCACGTCCTCAACGCCATCTGCATCCCCGCCTCCCTGGTTCTCCCGCTAGGGATGCTCGCTGATCTTCCTTACGTTCCTCGTCCTTAGAGGCCTCCTAGATGTGGTCCGAGTAGATGGGGTCGGAGGATCGCGCCGCATAGCCAACGCATCGCTGATGCATCGGGGATTCATCGGCGATGTATCGCCGACGTCGGCGACTCATCGGCGACGTCGGCGCGGAGAAAATCGGGCTCCGCATCGAGCCGCATCGCCAATGCCTCGGCGATGTGGCGCGATCCTCCGACCCCATCTCCTCCGACCCCATCGAGGATCCAAGGCCTAGAGCCCTCCCGTTTGCCTCCCCGGCCGCCCCAGGTCCCCAGCGAGGTCCCCCCCGCGCATCGCGGTCTCGCACTCGGAGTCCTCCCGGCAGCGCTTCGTGAAGGCCTCGGCGGCATGGAGCGGGCGCGCGGCCGACGCTCCCAGAAGACAAGGGGCCCTGGGACACGCAAATACATACACACAAATAATAGGATTCCCAATCTTTTCCCATATTTTCTGTTTTCGGGGTCTTCCCCCCCACTTCCCATATTTTCCAACATTTTCTGGGGAATCGACGATTAATTGTGTCTGTGCTTTTTTCTCTCCTGAAGAAGGCAAAACGGCGCAGGAGCATCACCTTCCGGAGGTCCGCGCGGACTGCCTGGAGCGGCGCTGGCCCCCCCGGTGGCGCCAGAGGCGACGCCCCTGGCGCGCTGGCGCGCGGCAGAGAGGAGGGTCCAGCGCCGATCGAAGGAATCTCCGCGGACCCCCGAAAGACAGTGTTTACGCTGAGGTCGGGCATGTCCCCCCTACAGGCAGATCATGAACGAAAAATGCAAGATTGCACAAACACGAAAAATCGTCCCCGGACTATTTCCTGACTACCTCCTGTAGAGGGACAGGCCCGACTTAAGTTTACGCTGCTCTTTCTGTCCCCCAGGAGTGGCATGCCCGAAATGGGTCGGAACACAATGGGTACGATACACCGCAGGGAATGCTGTCCAGAAGCAGCAGCGGCCGCTGTTGGGCAGGCGCCACGCTGCATCCAATGGACAAAGCCCGCGGGGACAGCGACAGCGAGTGCTGTGTAGAATGGACAAGGCCTGCTGTAATTAGGGCTTCGCCACCATTGCTGTATCCATGTCGATCCTTCCTCGATAGGTTCGGCATGAAAGAAGCGGATCTTGAGGGAAACGCGCCCTAGACGCAGGGGACTTCCCCAAAGACCAGTTCTTCACACATCTCTTGATCTAGCCTCGGAGCCTGGGGAGAGCCCCGGAAGCTCGAAGACGGGAAAACAAATCCCAGGACCCGTTTCCCTTAGGACCAGTTGGATTCATGGCGAGGGGAAGAGGTGATTCTTACACGACGCAACGGGGATATGGCCTTCGACACCCCCCCTCGAGGAGGACGAGGTGGTGGTGGAGGAGGAGCAGGAGGAGGAGGAGGAGGAGGAGGGGGAGGAGGGGGAGGGGGAGGAGGAGGAGTTGGAGTCCCTGGACGTAGTCCTTCCACTCATCACCTACACCTCTTCAGGGCTTTACGAGCTAATTCCGCTTAACTGAAAACTTTGGGCCATTGCCCCAACATAATCAAACGAAGGTATTCACTCCTCGTCGCGGTGGGGCGGGGGACACAGCCTTCCCAAGGCCGCAAAGCTGCAGGTCCCCATGCATCCCACAACTCGCACAAAACCACAGCATAAAATCGGCATGAAACCTCAAAACAATGGTAGGGATCCACAAACCCCCCAGCGAGGTGAATGGTGGCCCCCTCAGGAAGTGCACGAAGGGAGCAATCAATGGCAACTAACCTGAAACACGGAGACTTACGCCAGACCGAGACTCGCGCAGCCGACGCGGACCCGCGGCGCCTCAGACAACGCCTACCACACTCCGAAAGATCATGGCTCGTCTCAAAGGCCGACAGAATATTCTGACTCGGAGGCGGGGGGGGGGGGCGGAGGGTCGACAGGGGCAGCAGCGGCAGGCTCACCGATCTCCACCACTTCCCTCCGTCCCCGAGCTCCTCGCCTCTGGTGCCGACCGTACAGCGGGGCCTGCTGCATCGTCTTCTCGGCCTCCATGGCGTCGAGGTGGGACCTGAGAATCCTCATGCGGATGAGGTACACACCCGCTCCTTTTCCAGAATGTCTGCGCAAACAGCTTCAGGTATGCGGGCGATGGTCGCACCTTCACCTGCCAACGTGTCCGCTGCTGCATTGCCCACCGTCATCCAAGAAGATCCAGCTCGATGCACGACATCCTCGGCCTCCAGGTGCGAGTTCGTGAATAATACTGTCACATGCTCGGGTCGCCTTCCCGTGTTACGAAACAGCAACCCTATCTTCGCCCACAACTCAGCGTGCTCTCCAGTTGGATGACGGTATTTCAGAGGCCACCAACCTTCATGCACCATCTGGTTGTCTGTTACATACGCTACATATTGTTCCATCACCCACAGGGCTACCCAGAAGATATACAGCTCACCCCTGGCCACCGTCTGGACAACACCTGAGAGAGCTCCAAAGATGGATACTTGCAGCTGAGGGTCCGTTTCACTTTCCATCTGTGCGAGACCGAGACTGATACGTCCGATGCGTCTGAACCTCCCATCTGGTGAATCAGCCCCTCTACTAGCGTCGCCAAAGAGCACCACTGGCCTGGCACATTCACCTGGACCTAAGGACTCCATCAGCCACACTCTCGTTGAGCCCCGTCTGGGACCAAACCTCCTCATCAGGCGGCTCGGGTACTGCAGTCCACTGTGCTGGCATAGCTCCACGGAGCCAGTACGCTGGGGCTGACTCATGTTGAGATGCCACTTGCAGGTACACCTCGTCCGACTTGGTATAGATAGGGTGATTGACGTTGTGATCGCATTCCCATATTCGGTGGAAAGCTGACTCTTTACGTCTTTTGCAGCGAGGGCATAGCACACAAACTTGGACCTTAGCGGAAGCCTCAGCTCGACGGAGCCTCGGCCACGACCCTCCAGCAACTACCGTCAAAAACAACTCAGAAAGCCTGCGCCCGCGGGGGGACTGCTCCAGGTGCTTCAGAAGCCGCTGCAGAGATACTACATCCATGCCTTGCCCAAGACCTTCCCCGCACAAATGCCTCTCTACGTTCAACAGCTCCGCAAGCTCCTCAAGACCTGCCTGCGGTAGCCGTTCCACATCGAGCGGAGAAGGACGATCAGCACCTAGTCCTGCCCTGGTACGCATGCGGTGAACCGTACTACGCACTTGATCAGCGGTGATGGGCTCCATGGGCTCGTCACGTGCCGCCTCCTTGATGGCAGCAAAAGCTTCGGCAAGTCGTTCATCCTGAGAAGCGCCAGCGAAAACAATGCGTTCTAACCCAGCCGACGCAGCACATGAAGCATCCGACAAAACCTTGGCAGCGTGAGAGACGCATGGGCTCGAGGAGCACCCAGCGCTCGGCTCTGACGCCCCAGCAGAACATGGTATGACCTGAAAGGCCTCCAGCAAAACGTTAGCGACATGCGAGACGCATGGGCTCGAGGAGCACCCAGCGCTCGGCTCTGACGCCTCGGCAAAACATGACGTGGCCTGGAAGGCCCCCGACAAAACCTTGGCGACTTGAGAGACGGTTGGGTTCGAGGAGCGCCCACCGCTCAGCTCTGACGCCTCGGCAAAGCATGGCACATAACCTCCACGTCGATAGCTCGGCTCTGACGCTTCCGTAGAACACCTCCACGTAGTGCCTCCACGTCGACCTGCAGAAGTCCAGAGCTCCTTCCATACCTTGCACTTACGATCTAAGATATCCTTGGGGTGCACCAGAACAGTACTGCCATACCAAACCTCCTCAGCTGGAGGTGATTCTTCTCGCATACTCCTGCGCAGCGTTCCCAAGGCCTCCTGAGAAGTAATCCAAGACCGAAATTCCCACAAGGACTCTCGCACCGCCCGTCGCAGGGCGCGTTTAGAGAGCTTGTCCGCCTGTTGTTGAAAACTAGAAATCACCATATTACGCGTGTCAGCTAAGTTCAGGAGCAAACCCGTCCAGACTTGAATCCCCACATCCTTTTGGCTCAACAGAATCTTATCAACTCCATCGGGCTTCTCGGTAGCAAGGTGCCTGGCTGCTTGCTGCAACTGACCCAACTGATAACGACCATTATCTCGCCCACGATGCCGCTCGAACTGTGAGAGGATAGATGCAACACGTTTCCACCAACATGCAACTTGATCTCTCAAACGGAGCAGCTCTAGATCGCGAGCTCTGCTTGACTGACTCTTCCACGAAAGAACATCCAGTGCCCCGTCGAGGGCCCTCAGATGGCACGACCTGATGATAAGCATAAATGACATCCTCGACAGTGTTGACCCATTGAGAAAACAGTGCGCTCACGAGATGGAAGTGGCCAGGATTGAGCCGAAAGGCTACGGAGTAGAGAAAGTGAGCATGGGCAAGAGGGGCAACGTCCCCTTGATGCAGGGGCCTGTGCTGCCCCCACACATCTTCAGGGATGAGAACGCTAGGCTCAACCTTCTCTTGTGGCACTTCCGAGGGTTCAGGCTCCACCTGGCTCACCGATCCACTGCTTGTGGCTGGGGGGGGGGGTCCCTGTGGCTGATGGGGTCATCATTCACCTGACTACCAGACACGCCAGAGCTACAGACCCCCGAATTGACAACGATTGACTCAAGCGCACTAGCATTTTCATCAGACCTGGACGGAACGCCAAAGTTAGGCTCATTGGCCCACGGATCCACCTCTTCTTCTTTAAATTCAAGAAAGGGGGCCACCACCCCAGGGACGTCGGTTTCCTCGTCCTGGGAAGGGCCTTCAACAAAAACAGAACCTGCATTTTGCGAATTCCAAGCGTCCCCGAAGAGACTCAGATAGTTCTCAGAACGCTTTCCCGCGGCAATGGCAGCTTGCGCCGCCTGCTTCCTCCTGGCCACCGAGGCCTTGGATCCTGGGGTCGCTTTTACAGTCGGGCGGGAAAACTGGAGCGGTCTACCAGCACACTCTACCCGTCGTGTCAGAAGCTGACTGCCAGAGGGCCGCATGGAAAGAGCCAGTCCAATGCGCGGGCACCAGGGCACACCAGCGACGGCCCCCCACTTGATAAGGCACGGCAGGGAGGTCTCGGAGACTACCGAATAATCGACCAGGCTGCCCTGCACACTCGTGTCGCACGTAACCTGTACGCCAGGAGCCACAACTCGTCCTTGAACTTGTCGTGGCAACCCACTCTGAGAAAGAACGCTAGGCTCCATGTTCCAATATCCCAAGCAAATGTACGGCAGCTGCAAGGCTGATAACAGCCCCCCAATCTTGTGCCATCTTGAAATATTTTTTGCCAGCGATACCAATATATGAGAAACAATATACAACCAGCAGCACCAACGAGAGAGCCCTGAAGTACAG